TCCCATTGAGGTCGGCCAGTGCACGATGTTTCCAGGGCAAATTCTTCTGATGCCGTCCACGTAGGTGGCCACATAAAGATTTTCTTATAGAATGGAATGCGCTCTTTAATAATAAGTTGGAACCATTCGGTCTGAATTGAGCAAAATGTGCTTAAATCCATCTGGAAGTGGAGACAAAATGTCTTTTTTTTTTGCCCCCCCCCCTGTATATGTCGAGCCCGACTAACGTTTCGTAACATTCTCCTCCCTATGGAGCAGCCACTTTCACCAAGCGGAGGGAAGTCTATCGGACAATTCCTCTTTCAAATTGTTGCCCCACCAATTGCTATCCTTCGATCTTATATCTTCTCTTCAAGTGCTATTGCCTCTTTGGTCGCAATACATTTTGCGTGTAGCCGCAGTCGTTATCCCTGATCCTTGCAACAAATGCGGCGGGCGGGAAGGGTTGCACGTCCATGGTTTTACATGCATTCATACATACAATTCTTTATATTATTGTACCCTAACGCGCATTTTGATCTCTGTACTTACGAACCTAACCTTCTACTTAGAAGCCTGATCCCGGCGAAGTGCCTTCAAAACACTTTTTGCGGCCAGAGCACTTCTTTTGTGTGTGCACCGCCTCGGGTCACACCATTTTTCTCTGAAGAAGAAAGTAATACAAACCAAACAAAACCTCCTCATGCCAGGAGGGACCCACGCCAGTGAAAATGCACACTTCAGAACACCATACAGGAATTGTTGACACTTCATTTGTCACAAATCATTGCTACTGCCTTCAAACCAACCCAAATAGGTCAGTCGTAGGTCAAGCGGCTAACTTAGGAATTCCCATTTTCTCTCAGTGGCTCTTTAAGAGGGAGTTGAAAAATGCAGCTCATCAGAAATCGAGGTAGACCAGTGGTGCAGGAATGAAGAGAAAGCCATGAGAATTCAATCAGAACGCAAGAAATGAACCTCTTCTTTGCCCTTGATTTCCCATATTGGTGCGACTCTCATCGGTGCTGTCCTCTTCAACCGCTAACGCTTTCCCTGCTAAACGGTCAGAGTCGCACAGCTAGTGGTGGGAGGGCAGCAGCGCTAGCGGCGCAGGTATGGCTCTGGTAGACCAATGGAGGGGTACCCTTCGCTACGACGCGCATCCTCCTGCACTCTTGGGATTCCGACCTGCATTTCGAGACCTCCGGCCTTATCGTGGAAAGCTCGGTTGAGTCAAAACCTCTCCTTGTCGAAAGCTATGTGAGCCACATTAAGTGAGTGCTCAAATTGATCCAGCTTTTTTCAAAAATAATGAAATATAAATAAAAAAGTAATAAGCTCCACATTAAAAGATCACTTTCGTTTGAGAAATCATTTCGAAAAGTTCACTTACAGCATAGATACCACAATGCGCCTACTTCCGGGAAGCATAGACCCAGACAAGAACAAGTGTGCGCACTCAAAATCAGGCCGCAATGTCGCTAATGACTCAAGAATGCAGTAACA